TGAGAGGGGCCTCTTCTTGCGTTTATTCGGTCCCCCCTCGTTTATCCCCTCAAACAGGGGCCCTCCCTTCTTGGCAGCGCGGGGCAGAGGGGGGGGGTGCGGTCCTGCAGCAGGCCGACCAAGACCGCCTCCCTGGTATCGCACCTCCGCTGCCAGTGCCTGGCAGGCGCAGAAAACTGACCAGGATAAACATTGAGAAAATCAAAACATCAAACCGACATAACTTCATTCCTCAATGTTTGAGGGTTCCCCCCTCCCCACCACTTGCACCCTTGCGTTGCCTGGCTCTGGCGACCTCGCTCTTGCCGCCCCTCCACCTCCTCCCGTTGCGGTCGCGGTCGCCGTGCTCGTGGAACCACTGGGTCGCGTGGTGTTCCTGGCACGTCTTGCCAACGCACACCGAGAAGAAGGTGTGTTTGCCGCACTGCCAACACTTCTTGCAGTTCATCTTGCGAAGCCACAAGCGGTGGGACGAGCGGGTGTACCGCTTCCTGTGGTCCTGGAAGTCCAGCATGAATTCCTCCTCCGCCTCGCTGTCGTCGTCGTCGACCTCAAAGACAGGCGCGTGCCCGTCCTGCAGGGTGTCTCTGTAAATCAATCCCTTCAGGAAGGGTCACGGGTCTCTGTGAATGAATCCCCTCAGGAAGGGGAGGTTCTATCGATAAATCCCCTCTGGCAGGGGTCTCTGTAAACGGATCCCCTTCTCTGTAAACGGATCCCCTCAGGAAGGGGCGCCTTAACCACGTGTACCCCCAGCTCCTCGCGAGGCCGCTTGCCGCCGCCACCGCCTTCTGGAGGCAGCCCGCCGCCGCAGCCGCCCGACATCATCATGCCGGAAGCCTGGGGTCCAGAACGGTTGCGGCCGAAAGTTTTTAGTCAGACTCAAAAGGCTAAAATCTGGGGGCCTCGTGGGAGGCCCTTCGGGCGGGTGAATGCAATGGAATGTCATAGGAATTCGTCCAATTTTAGACCCCCCTTTTTTGCTAAAAAAAAAGTGGGTCTAAAACTCGGCTGCTGGATTGATTTTTCATCGCCCAGATGGCCAAACAAGTGGCCGTCACTCTTACTTTTCTCCTCATCCTGCCCCAACTCCCCCCTTGCATTCTGCTTCCGCGCGGCCTGGGGCGCCGAGAGGCACACGATGAGCGCCCGCATGGCCGCGAGCTCGGGGCGGGGGGCTGGCCCCCAAGCGCGCTGGGCGTCAGCTCTGTCGAACGGTTGCGGATGAAGAACATGAAAGCAAATGGGAGAGGGATGGAACGAGGAGGAAACGCAATGCCACACACATAATGAGTAAGCAGACTGCCGCACCTTTGATCCCCTCCCCGAGGGGTCCCCTCTCGGAGGGGGCCGTTGCCCTGTCTTATCGCGAGTGTGCTGAAGCCCCTCTTAAGGGGTTCCCCTCTTAAGGGGTTCCATCACTCGCCAATCCATCGCGCGGCCCCCTCACGGAGGGGCGCCCCTGCGATGAGGGGGTGTCGTCTAGCACTGGAGAGGGCGCTCTGCCAACGGGTATGGCGATGGCAATGGCGATGAAGACGGTAAGGGATGATGATGATGGATGCGATGATGAGGATGGATGCGATTAGTCGCCCAAGCGCTGTGCCACTAAGCGCTCAGCCTCCGCCTTAGCAGCTTCCTTGGTGTCAGCCACGGTGCCGTCGACCAAGGCCTTCTTCAGCTCTGCGCCGATCTCCCTGAGCGTGGCCTCGTCCAAGGTGTCCTTGTACTTTTTCCCGCCGAAACTCACAAACTGGTTCTTCTCACCGTGCGTCCGCTTCAACCCGATAGAGTGGTCCCTCTTGTAGTACATCACGCTGTACCCGCGGTCGGCGTGGCCAGCGGGGGGCCCAGCGCCGACCGAGGGCTCATCTGCAGCATCCACGGGCTCATCGGGTTCCAGCTGCTCTTCCTCCCCCCCCTCATCGTCCTGGTCCGTCTCCGTGTTCGCGGCGGCTGCACTGGGCTTTCTCATTGCAGGCTTCTTTGCCACTACATGTCCTGCTGGCTTCCCTTTTTTGCACGCTTTCGCCTTCGCCTGCGCGGCTGCCGCTCTTGCTGCCAGGAGGGCGTTGGGCTGCTCCGTCTTCTCCGTCCTGCCGTCGGGAAACACGGCATCCAAGAAACCATCGCCTCCTTTCGTCAGTGTTCCCCGCTCCTCCCTGTCTGCGAACTTCATCACCATGCACATCGGCTCGGAGTTGAAATCGAAATACGTGGCCAGGGGATCCTGGGGCGGGTCTCTCACTTGCCCCTCCCGAGCTCCCCTCCCGAAGGGGTTCGGTTACGCCGTGAAAAATCAAAACTGCCCCCCTCCCCCCCCCACCCTGCCCGCCCCCTCCGATCCTCCTTCGGGGCCGCGGCGGGCGGGTCAGCGAGCTCGACGTCCTCCTGCGACGAGAACACCACCATCGGGCTCCACGTGGCAACCTTCTGTTTCTTCCCTGCCGGTTTCGGAGGCGGGCTGATGCCGAAGGCGTTCTTGATGACATTGCGCCTGCTGCCCCCATCTGCGCTGGACGACGCGGCGGCCGCGGAAGATTTTGGAGGGTTCATCTCTATGTCGGAGCTGCTGTCGGCGCGTTTTTTGCTCTCTCCTGTGCTTGGGCTTGCCCTGCCAGGCTGCAGCCCCATTGCCACCCCAAGCATTTTTGCGTGCGCCTCCAGCTTCCCCCCCGTCTTGGCGATGTAGAACTTGTTGCAAACATGGCTGAAAGCGTTGGCCACCTCCTGGCAGAAACGCCTACACTCTTCCTGGTGCATGTTCGGCTTCTGCTTCAACACGACGTCCTGGAGGTTCTTCCATTTGACGCGTGTGGTGAGCTGCGCAAGCGGCAAGAGAAACGGCATGTTGTTCTTCATGAAGTCATCTATGCCCCCTTGCAGTTGGCATTTTTCGATGAGATCAATGTGCTGTTTCACGAGCGGCTTCAACTGTTCCTCTGTCACAGAAGAAGCCCGTATCTTCACCTCCGTCTTGCCCTTGACCATTGCCCACCCCCAGTGCGCGCAAGCAAGAGTAGCGCTATGTGCCCTCGAGCCTTCGCAGCTGCGGGATGTTGTAACATGCGCGCAATGTGATGCAGCCGATACCCCTCGCTCAGGGGACGCATGCCCCCTCACTCAGGGGATCCTTAACAATGCGCGAGCGAAGAAAAGTACGACCTGGCCAAAAATCATGGGTTGGACTATAGTGCGACCCAAGGAAAGTGCCAGGTCGATCTATAGTTCGACCCCGCACTATAGATCGACCTTGGAGTCTCAAGGTCGAGGACCGGGGGGGGGTGCCGGCGGAGGCGGAGAGAGGCCGGGGGCGGTGGGCCTCAGCCGGCGGTGGGGCCAGTGGAGCGACTGACAGTCACGCAAAATTGGAGACGCATGGGGGACGGGCGTGGGGGACGGGGGGAAGGGGGCGGGCGGGGCGCGGACGTGGGGAAAGCAGCTGCCAGCCGCGGAATGGGGTGACGCATCTGTGGGGGACGGGAACCAGGAGGCGGGCGGGGGGCGGACGCGGGGCAGCGGCGGCAGCCGCAAAGTGGAGCGTTGGAAGGGCACCAGCCAGGGGTGCGGAGAGGAGTGGCGGAAGGAGGCGACTGACAGTCGCGTAGTGGCAGGGAACAGCCCCGATGGGGCAGGTGAGGTGGGAGGCGACGATCGGTCGCTCGGTGGTGTAGAGAGGCGGGAAGTGGCAGGAGCGCAGCAACCGGCCACGAGGTGTAGGGCAGCACTAGGCTGCAAATTTCGTTGTCGCGAGGGGCAGTACGGGTTACCCCACTGGAGTGGGGACCAGGCCCCGAAGCGGCGCCTAAGGCGGGCCGGGGTGGGGGCGGCGGTCATCCAGGGGGCGAGAAGCCGCAAAGGGGGGTCCAGGAGCTGGGTCTCCTGAGTGCCAGGAGCGAGCCGACAGCCCCAGCTGGGCGCGCCCGAGGCGGTATTGGGCGCGGAGCCGAAGTGGCGTGCCAAGGGGCCCCGCCTGGGGCAGGCCCCAGTGAGAGGAAAGTCGTTCGTATCGTCATGGGCAGCACCATCGCCGAGTGTAGGGAAGCAATCGGCACTGGCAGAGCCGCCTGGGTTTGCCAGACTATGGGGGACACGGCCGTGGTGTTGACTGCGCCGGGGGAGGGCGGGGACCCGTGAGAGGGTACTAGGGGTATACCCCGGGCTGGCGGGAGCTCGTGGCCCGCCAGGGCTGGTGGGGATACGCGAAGCGTGAACGATTATAATGTAAAGAAGCATCATGTAACTGCCCATCTTATCTCCACGTCGGGGCATACCGATTCGGCCGACCCTGCTGGACTGTTGCGTCAACCTGCTTGCTGGACTCAAGACGGTCACTAAGGACCTCAAGTCTGCCCAACGTGGGGTCATAGCGCCACAAGAGTGTCCCTAGACTGTCGAAAGGGCTCCACGATAGCCCCAAGAAGCGCAAGAGGGCCCACAGAGGCCTCCTATGTGGCCCCAGACGCTTCAAGAAGGCCCCATGAAGATCCAAACCATCAGAACCACAGGGAATAATATGTAGAACAATCATGCCGGGCTCCCAAGCTGTTGGGCTCAATATTGCCAAAAGACCGCCTCGAAAACACAGAAGGCAAATCAATGGGTTTCCAAAAGGTGCCCAAGACGGCCCAAAGAAAAGACGGCCCTCCCCAAAGCCCCCATGCTGGCCTCCGGAGCGAGAGGGGCACAAAACTGCCCACGAGGACCCCAAACAGCCCAAGAGGGCTTCAGACGGCCCCAGGAGAGCCACAAAGATCGAATTTGTCCCCAAGATGGCCCAAGATTTCCCCCCCAAAGCGCCCCAAGACGGCCCAACAGGGCCCGATGACAGCCCCCAAGATGTCCTCAAGTGGCGCCAAACATGGCTCATGTCCCCAAGACGGCGCCAGCGGGACCCACCAAAGGCCCAGGATGGATGAGGATGATGAGCATTAGCAACAGGATGAAGGAACTGCCGATCGGATATGAGAAGGCCCGAGAACGCTCTGCGATAGTAGATGCACTGTTTTGAGAACTATCGGGGCGGATGTTTCGTCAATGCTTTGACTGGTCAGGGTGCCTGAGCTCCAGCGGGTCCCAGGCGACATCGGGCAGTGAGAAAGATCTCTAGGGCACCTGCTGGCAAGCCGGAGCGCAGGCACCAACTGTGTACTCATCTGAATTCCATTGAACCAGGATGAGCCCCGAGAGCCACGAGTCCCTACAAGGTGAAGGTCATAACTCTCCCTCGTCGTGTGAAGGTCATAACTCTCCCTCGTCGTCATCCATGCGCAACGCCCTGTCCAAGCGGGTCTGGTTCACCTCGTCCTCAAGGTCGAAAGCCTTGCTGCCGTGCTCGTTGGCAAAAGCAGCGAGATGCTTGACGGATCGCTCTCCATCAAATGCAACTGGCGTGGTATCTCCAGCCCGGAGAAATAGCACCTTCGGGTAGGATTCCCACTTGAAACCTTGATCTTGGAGGGGAGAGCCATTCAGGGACCCGTCCATCTTGACAACAGATAGGTGCGGCACCCTCGAAGCTCTGATAGCGAACTCTTCCCAGATGGGCATGAATTTTCGCGAGAAGCCGCACCACGAGGCGTATACCATCAGGTAGACGTCTTTTTTGTCCGCCATCGGGGTCGAGGGCTGCATCACAATCTCCTCCAAGGTGTGGCCCACCGCTATCAAAGAACCCCCGTACATGTCCGGGGACCTCGGTATCGGCTCCGACTTCGTGAGCCTGTTGCGGACCCACTGCTCTAGGCTCGAGGCCGTGAAATCGCCGTCGTATCGAATGCTCTGCTCGCCCTCCCTCTCGGAGACGAAGGTGACATTCTCGACATCTGCTTCTCTGTGGAGCACGGCTACAGCGTCCATGTGCTGCGCCGCCACTACCTCGAGGGTCTTGTCGGGTGTTGCTAGAAGTGCCCCTGGCCCAAGGTTTATGTTGTTCCCATCCTACATGAGGACCGCATCCCAGAAGTTATTTCGAGCACCCAGAGAAATGTCAAAAATGTGTCGAAGCAGTGTCGAAACAGTGTCGGGCGAGTGTCTCCCAGGGCCCGACACGTGAAAATCCTGTAGTTGCGGTACTTTTTCTGGCGCTCGAAATTCTTTCTGGTGATCAAGGTTCAAGTAGGTTGGAGCACCATAACCCAAGGTGCCCCCAGCTTTTCGCTCCATTCTGGAGCCCCTGGGGCCCTCTGGGCCTCGTGAGGAGTGCCCTGGAGGCCGTCTGGGCTACCCCGAGAATCCCGGGTGTACCTTGGGCCAGGGGTACTTCTAGCAACACCCGGTCTTGAAGTGCGGGGACGACTTTGGTAACTGTGCGTAGATGGCGCGATCGTATCTGCGGATATCCGCCTCGGACTGCGCAGTCTCAATCGGGTCGCGGTCCAGAGCCATCACGAAGTCCACGATGTTCTTCATCTTTCGCAGGGTGTGATGGTATTTGGTCGGCTGCCCGTGCACGAACCAGAGCAACTGGGGGAACTTGCGCTGGGGTACGTACCTCTCTGCCAGAGCCCAGTCCTGCCTGGCGTCAAACTTGACAAAGGGCACCTTGCATCCGAGGTCTCGGATGCTCCGGGCAGCCGCGTCTATCTCCCCAGAGAGCTCGGCCCAGTTCGGGTCTGCTTGGTCCACAAAGTCCACCAGCACCTCCCGCCGGCGCGCAGAGGAGGGGGGGGCACAGGGGAACAAAAAGTGGCATAAACATAAAAACTCTGAGGTCGGCGCGGATTTCTCGGATCGGCGCTGGGGCCCCCCAGCGGCGCCTCCGGCGCCGCCCCTGGCGCGCTCCGCGCGCCAGGGAGGGGGGTCCAGCGCCGATCCGAGAAATCCGTGGACCTCCGAGTTTTTATGCCACTTTTTGTTCCCCTAGGGCAGGGCGAGGGGTGGGCGGGCCTTCTCTAGAGGCAGAGGGGGCTCCTTGGGAGGGATCGGGCCCTCTCACGAGGTGGAGGCCGCCGAGAAGCCCCTCCCACAGGGCAGGAGGGCCTCAAGAGCTGGGAGCGCCTTCCGAGGACCCTCAAAGCAAGCGTCGGCGCCAACGGGTGCCCTTCTCCCCATGCAGCCCCCCAAAACGACGCAAGCAACGCAACGAGGACTTGCACAGGCTGCATGGTGCCGACGGAAATGAGCGGGGTAGCAAACACATACAGAGGGTGCGAGCTGAACAACATTTACGTTTTCGTGTTGTGTTCGTCTTCCCTCGTTCTGTCATCGTCCCGCCCTTGCTGGAAAAGGAATCAAAACGGAAACTGTCCACGAAATCGCCAACCCACTGTTTAACACGCGCCCTGTATACACACCACACACAAGCATACGCAAACGCACACGCACACACAAGCACGAACACACGAACAGACGCACACGCACACGCACACGATTGCGCGGTCCCGTCTCAGGAGTGGCGTAGATGTTTTTCGCCCGGGTTGGTTTTCGCCCAGTGCGTTTCGCCCCGTTCGTTTCGCCCAAGTTGGCTTTCGCCCGGTTGGCTTATGCCCGGGTTGGCTTTCGCCCGGGTTGGCTTTCGCCCAGGTTGGCTGTCGCCCAGGTTGGCTGTCGCCTGGGCTCGTTTTCGCCTGGGTTCCCGCGTCCATCAGGAGCGCGGGCGACGGGCATGAATATTGGGATAGGGCCGCGGGCCGGAGGAGGGCGACCAGGAGGGGAACGGGAGGACGGGGAATCGTCGTCGTAGTCGTCGTCGTCGTCGTCGTCGTGTTATTGTCGTGGTGGTGGTCGTCGACGTTGTCTTAGCCGTTGTCGACGTCGCCGTACTCGCCGTTGTCGCTGTCGTCGTCGTCCTCCTGGTCGCCGTCGTTGCCGTCGTCCTCGTCGTGGTCGTTGTCGTCGTAGTGGTCCCGCCCGTCAGGGTCCGCCCGCCCGACCCGACCAGCCCGTTAGGGTTCGCGCGTGCTGAGTCGAGCGCGCCCCACACTTCAGTGCCCCGCCCGCCCGACCCGACCCGCATGATAGGGTCCGCCCGACCCGACCCGAGCAGTCCCGCCCGTTCCGCCCGCCCGGCCCGACCCGCCCGTTAGGGTTCGCGCGTGCTCACTCGAGCGCGCCCCCACACTTTAGTGTCCCGCCCGCCCGACCCGACCCGCCCGTTAGTGTCCGCCCGACCCGACCCGACCCATCCCACCGGTCAGGGTCCGCCCGACCCGACCCGACCTGCCCGTTGAATTTCACGCGTGCTCGCTCCGGCGTGCTCCACACTTCAGTGTCCCGCCCGCCCGACCCGACCCGACCCGACCCGTCGTCCCGCCCGTTCGGGTCCGACCGCCCCACCCGACCCGCCCGTTAGGGTTCACGCGTGTCGCTCGGGCGTGACCCACACTTTAGTGCCCCGCCCGCCCGACCCGACCCGCCCGTTAGGGTCCGCGCGGCCCGACCCGACCCGTCCCGCAGTGTAGGGTCCCGCCCGCCCGACCCGACCCGCCCGTTAGTGTCCGCCCGACCCGACCCGACCCATCCCACCCGTCAGGGTCCGCCCGACCCGACCCGACCTGCCCATTGAAGTTCACGCGTGCTCGCTCCGGCGTGCCCCACACTTCAGTGTCCCGCCCGCCCGACCCGACCCGCCCGTTACGGTCCGCCCGACCCGACCCGACCCGACCCGACCCGACCCGTCCCGCCCGTTCGGGTCCGACCGCCCCACCCGACCCGCCCGTTAGGGTTCACGCGTGTCGCTCGGGCGTGACCCACGCTTTAGTGCCCCGCCCGCCCGACCCGACCCGCCCGTTAGGGTCCGCGCGGCCCGACCCGACCCGTCCCGGCCCGTTAGGTCCGCCCGCCCGACCGACCCGCCCCTGTCGGGCACCGCGTGCTCACTCGAAGCGTTGCCCCCACAATTTAGTGTCCCGCCCGCCGACCCGACCCGCCCGTATAGGCGTTTGCTCGACCTGAACGATCGACCAGACCGTAAGATCCGCCCGCCCGGACCGGCCCGACGTTACGTTCCACGCGTGCTCGCTCGAGCGCCGCGCCCAACACTTTCGAGTCCGGCCCGCCCGATCCGAAAACCCCGGCCCGTTAAGGCCGCCCGACCCGACCCGACCCGTCCCGCCCGTTAAGGTCCGCCCGCCCGACAAGACCCGCGTGTTAACTTCCGCCCGACCCGCCCCGCCCGTTAGGGTCCACCCGCCCGACCGGACCCCCCCGTTAGGGTTCGCCTGACCCGACCCCACACTTTAGTCTCGCGCCCGACCGACCAGACCCGCCCGTCAGGGTCCGCCTGACCCGACCGGACCCGTCCCGCCCGTTAGGGTCCGCCCGACCCGACCCGACCCGCCCGTTAAATAAAGTTCACGCGTGCTCGTTCCGGCGCGCCCAGCACTTCTGGCGAAAGCCAACCCCGTCGAAAGCCAACCCAAGCGAAAGCCAACCCAGGCGAAAGCCAACCCGGCGAAAGCCAACCCGGCGAAAGCCAACCCGGCGAAAGCCAACCCCGGCGAAAGCCACCCCCCCGGCGAAAGCCAACCCCCCGGCGAAAGCCAACCCCCGGCGAAAGCCAACCCCGGCGAAAGCCAACCCCGGCGAAACGAAGCCCGGCGAAACGACGCCCGGGGAAACTAAGCCCGGGGAAACGAAGCCCGGCGAAAGCCAACCCCAGCGAAAAGCATCTGTGCCCCCCCACTCGGCCCCCTTCTGCGCGCAGCCGCGAACCCTGTCGTTGCTGCGGACCGGAGGGTTCCACAGGGGGTTCTCGGGGAGGGGGTTTTCCACCCTGACCTTCCAGAGAGCATTTTTTAGCACTGGAGGCCGAAAAACTAAGAAAACTGGGCGAAACGCCTTAAAACCAAGACGTAGAATAGCTTTAGGAACGTTTTTTTGGTCGGGTGCTTTTTTCAGCCCTCCTGGAAGGTCAGGGCAGGAGGGGTCCCCCAGGGGCTCCGCACCCCCTGTTTTGACGAGGTTCGCAGGCTGGGGGGCTCTCTGGAGAACCCCCTCCCCCAAAACTGCCTTTGGAACCCTCCGGGCGGAGGAAGTCGCCGAGGCCCGCCGGGGTCAGCACGGCGGCCACGCCGAGGCGCCCCTCGGCGAGCCTCGGGCCGCCGAGGGCGGCCGCCGACAGCAGCAGCAGCCGCCGCCCGGGAGCTCGCCGCGGCGGGGCGGCCGCCATTGGCGGGGGACCGCGGCGGGCCGCCGAGGAAGCGGGGCCAAACACCCTGCGCAAAGGACTCGGGCCTGGGAGGATGAGGAGGAGGAGGGAGGGAGGGAGGAGGAGGAGGAGGAGGAGGAGGAGGAGGAGGAGGAGCAGGAGGAGGAGGAGGACACACACAGACACACACACACACACACACACACACACACACACACACACACACACACACACACACACACACTCTCTCTCTCTCTCTGGAGGGGGGGGGGCGGGGGCGATGGGTGGCGAGGTGGCCGAGGTGGACAGGGGGGGGGACGGACACCGAGGGAGGGGGGCTGGAGCAGGAGGACAGGCAGCAAGGTGGAGGAGGGAGACGACGAGGAGGGGGAGAATGCGGATGGACGAGTGAGGGAGGATGGGGGGATGGGGGATAGAGAAATGCGGGAGGGACACAGAGGAGGGACTGAGAAGCACAAATAACATAACACCATACTAATGGATAACTGGAGTATGTGAGATGTATGATGGCCGAAGTGAGCATCGGAGGGGGCCAAGAGGATATGCGATACTGTGAAAGTGGGGCAAACTCGAGCGACCTACCGATGCGTAAAATCACTAGAACAACGCGGATGCGCGCGTAGCCTCTGGTCTGGAAGACGTGCATTGTATGTTGCCACTGGTAATTGGATGGGATGCCATGAATAGATATATATTGCCCAAACATCGCCCTTCAATAAAATTATCAAAATACTGATGGACATTATGTGGATGATGAAGAGATGGATGCGGCTGACACGGAAAGGAAGCGTACGATATACGCCAACAAAAGGATCGCCAACAATGCAGAAGACTCTGGACAGACCCTTCCCCCCCGCTGGCAGCGACGTCCTCATCATCTCTAGATTCCTGGTTGTCCTTCTTATCCCCGTTTCAGTCCTCTTGGAGGCCGAGGGGTCAGACCATCGACCCAACAGGCTCGTTACACGGGCACAGGCTCGGCTGGACCAACCCGAGCCGATGGAGGACGAGGGGGAGGAGGAGAGGTCCTCACAAACCACCATGCGACTGAATTGCGGCAATAATTATATCCACATCCACTGCGTCTTGGACTTTCTTGGAAGGGACGCCAAAAGGCCGAGACGCAGTGGATATGAATAAAACAAGCTAGCCTCCAGGGGCCAGACTTTTACTCATATCTACTGCGTCTCTGGTTCCTGGGGAAGGGAACCCAACACTCTCAGACGCAGTGGCTATGTATTCACAACTTGACAGCAGATGGGGTCCGTCTCCAGGTCTCCCAAACTCGCGCTCTGCGCTGAGCGAGACGCCGACATCTTCTTCGGATAGACCCCACCCGACCCATCATGGGGCGCGTTCTGACCAGAATCCCGAGGCGAATCCAGCCGCAGCGACGAATACGCTCCAGGAGGCACAGCAAGGACGAAAAACACGCTCAGTGGCCTGCACCCTCGATTGCCGATACTCTGCTCACCGTGCCCTCGCGCCACCTCCCAGGAGGAGGCCAGGGCTTCGACCGAGGCCGCGGAGCAGGAGGCGCGAGCCGTCTTCTCCCCCCCCGTGCAGGACGAGCTGGAGCCCGAGCGCCGGGCGGGGGGTCCACGACGAGACCGAATGGGGCGAGGAAGAAGGAGGAGGACGAGGAGGGAAGGAAAGGAGGAGGGAAAGGAGTGGAAGAGGGGGGAGGAGGGAAAGGAAAGGGACGAGGGACAGGGAGGGAAAGGAAGAGGGAAAGGGAGAGGGATGGAGACGAGATGGGATGAAGGGGGAAAGGAGGAGGGAGGTGGGCGAGGGAAGAGGGAGCTGAGATGAAAGCACGATGGAAGGATGCATGGAGGGGGTGGGGGGGGGAATTAGTACGGAAGGAGCAGAACTCGCCATCGCTCGGACGTCCATTCCCTGTGTTTTTTTCGGTTTCGTGCGTGTTTTTTTCGCTGGATGATCCAGGATGTTCCTTAATAATCCCCGCCGAGAAAAAGTGCACACGTCCGAGCGAT